CGAACAAACAACAAACGAGTTAACGTCGTACAATCCTTTGGTCCAAGATTCTCGGTTATCCACAATCACAAAAGAAGCAAAAACATCTTATTTATTTACAGAAACTGTGAGAGAAGATGAAACTTGGACAAGTAACGCTACGCTCACAAGGCTTCAGTAACAGAGTAGTGCACCTTGGTGAGCGATGTCTTCAGGAAGATGCTTCCACAGTGAGAGTCTGAGCTACCATCGTCGAAATTCTCATACTCATTGAGAGTACTAACCAGACTTTCGTGAGGGTTAAATGATTTTTGATACCGATCAGAACTAGCGGCTTTACGAGCCTGCCTTTTGTCCCTACCACCACCACCACCACTTCCACGTGAAGAGTTGCTGCCCTTCTGTCCTTTCTTTCCATTCTTCCTGTTCTTAGATTTCTGCTGTTTCTTGTTGTTTTTGACACTATGGCACAACGATGTCTGAGGAGGATCGTACACGTCGGGAGCCCATGTCACAGTCATCTTAGGTGACTCCCCATAGTGTTGTACTCGGCTACCTTTCATAGCAGATACGAGCCTCACAGGAGCCTGGACATTAGAAGTTATGTCAGCAAACAGTAGGGATAAGATGAAACGCAAATGTGCAATAGCGTCACTAACATTCACTTTTCACTAATTCATTATTTGTAATTGTATAAAACCACAAGCAAGTTCAGATAATGTGCTGTTTTAACTAACAAACTCAAATCTGCACAGAGGGTGAGTAAACAAAAAATGTAGATAATGCTGCTCACGACAAACAACGTTGACAGAAAACTCTTAATGAAATTAAAATGAGAAAACAGCAGAACAAATTAAGAACACTCTTCCGTGTTACACACAAAGCCATGCAACATAGCAAGCAAAGTATACTTACAGCCGCCACAGCGGGATTGGGCTCCACAAGAACACAAAAACATGACATACTTAAAAAGAAAATACTCGCAAAAAGGAAACAAATAGACAAGCAGTATCTATATTAACAAAATTGAATTGTAACATAATCTCTAGGATCATGTCAGCCAAACTCGTAAAGCCGTTCCTTAGAAGTTTCAATGCCCACACCATATTTGCCTTCGTGACAAAAAAATAATTAGAACATTAGTAGCTTTTAACTAAAACAAGAAATCATAAACACAAGACAGAACTGCAACATTCTCCCTTTTTAGTTTTGAAGAGAAGATTACTTACAGGTAAAGATATGGATCTTGCAAAGGCTTGATGCATAGACTCATTACAGGACACATCACCCGTCGCTACTTGTGGTTTCTTCTCATTGTCTGAAGATTCCTTAGGAGGGGATGTTACAGCAGGGATGGGGAAGGACTTGGATTTGCTTAAACACTTATTAGCTGAGTTGTTCTCGGGAAGTTCAAGCCCTTTTTGTTTGTATCTATCATTTGAATCATAGCAGCAATTCACACTGAGTTTACATTCTGAACTTTGAGTATCTTCAATGCTCAAGGACTTTTTAAAAAATCCATCAAGATCACTAAACAATGCAGCATCAATTTCTTTCAAAGACGATTGCAGATCATCCAACCCGTCTACGTCTAGGAGAGCCAACTTCTGGTGAACGGAAGGAATATCCATTCAGGCTTATATAAGACACAAGAAACCTGCACATATATCCAAGATATAGTAAAACAATCCCGAAAAGAAACTCAATCCAGGCGCTCAGAAAGAAACATGAAGCTATTATGCCTGTAAAATTCTTAGTAAGAATATAAAAAGATTATAGCACAATACCTCGCACAATAGTAGGATTGCAAAACCCCTCTCAACGAGTAGCCAATTGCCAGTGACTCGCTTCTCAGAGGCTTCGACCGCTAAAAGACCTCAAGATCAAAACAAATAAATCCTTACCTTACAACTCTAATTTCTCTAGGAATTCCAAATCTCGAACGAACCAAGAGCAAGGAGGAGAAGAGAAGGCTGAAGAATACGAATAGAGCACGAAAAGCGCTAAAAGAACCCCATGTTAACTAAGATTACCACGCCGATCACCCTTTTCAAGCCGCTTAAGACGATGCGACGATGAACCACCATGAAAAGAAGTCAAAGAAGGAAGCAGAGGGTGCAGGAAGAGATCAATTGGTACCGAAGGCATACTGAAATGCTCTTCGAAACCCTAATTTTCCGTAGGGTCTAACAAAACCTCAGATTTGCGAGCCAAGAGCTCGAAGAAAACTTTTCAAAAAAATGGAAAATGTGCGAATCGAAAGTACGAATAGAACACAAAGGTTCAGAACATGAGAACCTGAAATCGGTCAGTAAAAGGAAGAACTGGAAATCATCTGATCCGTAACATGCTGCAAAAGATCAGCGGCGTTGCAGCGGCAGCGGAAGCGGATCGGATAATTTTGGGAGGATGAGGTCGAAAATAGTGGCGGAATTGGGATCTTACGGAACTAATCCTTTGGGTCAAGATAAATGAATCGGTCTCATAGATATAGCTGTGAGGCCGAATCAAAGCTCTACACGTTTTCTTCCTTTGACAATTCGCTGATTTATTTGTTTTCAGATATTTCCAATGCTTTCCTATTGGGCTGGGCCTCCTTCTCTTAAAGCCCATTTCCTGTTGGACAGCGTCTCCATATCTGAAAGCCCATTTCATATTGGACTGGGCCCGCTTACCTCGAAGCCCATTTCATATTAGACTGGGTCCCTTTTGTGAAAGCCCATTTCCTATTGGACTGAGCCTCCTTATCTGAAAGCCCATTTCCTATTGGACTGCGTCACCATATCTGAAAGCCAATTTCATATTCGACTGGGCCCGCTTATCTGAAGGCCCATTTCCTATTGGACAGGCCTCCTTATCTGAAATCCCATTTCCTATTGGACTGGGCCTCCATATATGGAAGCCCATTTCATATTGGACTGGCCCTTCTTATCTGAAATTCCATTTCCTATTGGACTGGGCCTCCTTATCTGAAATTCCATTTCCTATTCGATTGGGCCTCCTTATCCGAAATCCCATTTCCTATTGGATTGGGCCTCCTTATCTGAAATCCCATTTCCTATTGGACTGGGCCTCCTTATATAGAAGCCCATTTCATATTGGACTGGGCCTTCTTATCTGAAATTCCATTTCCTATTGGATTGGGCCTCCTTATCTGAAATCCCATTTCCTATTGGATTGGGCCTCCTTATCTGAAATCCCATTTCCTATTGGATTGGGCCTCCTTATCTGAAATCCCATTTCCTATTGGACTGGGCCTCCTTATCTGAAATCTCATTTTCTAGTGGACTGGGCCTCCTTATATGGAAGCCCATTTCATATTGGATTGGGCCTTCTTGTCTGAAGTCCCATTTCCTATTGGACTGGGCCTCCTTATATGGCAGCACATTTCCTATTGGACTGGGCCTCCTTATATGGAAGTCCATTTCCTATTAGACTGGGCCTCCTTATACGGAAGCCCATTTTCCTTTTTGGACTGGGCCTCCTTATCTGAAATTCCATTTCCTATTGGATTGGGCCTCCTTATCTGAAATCCCACTTTCTATTGGACTGGGCCTCCTTATATGGAAGCCCATTTCCTATTGGACTGGGCCTCCTATCTGAAATTCCAATTCCTATTGGATTGGGCCTCCTTATCTGAAATCCCATTTCTTATCGGACTGGGCCTCCTTATAAGAACGCCCATTTCCTATTCAACTGGGCCTCCTTCTCTTAAAGCCCATTTCCTATTGGACTGGGCCTGTTTAGTTAATAGCCTATATCAAACAAATATCTAAACTTCTTTTTTTTAAAAAAAATTAATTCTCTAAATTTATCAATTTAAATTTATTTTTTATTTAATAGATATGTGACCTATTTGACATTTTACAAAATTAATCATTAAATTATTAGACACAAAATATAAAATTTAATAATCTATAACACACCATTCAATTATTAAACACAAAATATAAAATTTAATAATCTATGGCACACCATTTAAGTTTTTCGTACCCAAAATTCTAAAATTTTGAAAGCTTTCCCTGCAGAGGAATCTCACCCGAATAACCAATAGTTTAGAATATTATAATATTAAGTTAAAACATTATTAAGTACTACAAGTTTAATTAAGTGTAATTAATTTATTGATTTATAGTTGGAACCCCAGGGGAATAGATTATGAGATCCCTCCTCGGTTGGAGAGGGTAAAAACCTATCTCTCTCATCTCTCCCAAAGCGTTAAAATTATGAGGAGGCAGCAGGATGCTGCTAGAAGTGGATTTGGAAGTGGGTTGGGATGATGTCGGCTAGAAGTGGATTTGGAATGGATTTGGAAGTGGGTTTGGGTAGTTACAATTAAAAGTGGGTTTGGGCTGTTACAAATAATATCAAGGGCCGGACTTGTGGGACGTGGGTTCCCAAAAGAGTGGATCCTGAAATTCCACAGGAATACCAATAAAGTGGATCATGAAAGGATCCACAGAGGGAATGAATGTAGAAGCTTCTCCCAAATTGAGGCGTTTGAAAACCTGCAATCCATCTCAATAGAAGAATATATGTCAATCCTATGTAGAATGCAAAATTTTATTACTAAAAAAAATAATTATTGATAAAATGAAAATTAAAATCGTTCGCAAAAGTTCAAAACTCTACTAAACTTGCCTTCGATAATGCAAGCAGAGCATATGGCGGTGGTAGGAAATTTCGTCGATTCCTATCGGGGCATTTAATTTCTCCTCACCTGAGAATCCTGCCACGATCACAATCAATAACGCCCCAGCCTGTATGACGTCGGTTTCCATACGTACAGGTTATTGGCGCAATTCGATCAGCCAACCTCTTTCTGATTATCAAAAATTCAGATTTGCTCGAAGATCATATCGTAGCATTGAACTATTAAATAATCGATTGAAGTGTTAAGTGAATCGAGAACAGAACTATCGATGGCACGGAAATATCGGATCTGTAGAAACCCTAATTCTTTCCGTTCGACAAACATTTGAGCCGGGACGAAAAATTCATTAGCATCTGCTGAACAAAAGTGAAGAGAATCGACCGAAGGAACTTGTTATTCATTAACACTATTAGTTCGATACACCTATTACCAGAGAAACCAGAATCTACACAACATGTTACCGTAACTGCAAACGTAAACCTAATCCCAAAATTTACCGATTCGGATTCTAAGAGCTCGTAAATTTGGTTACGGCCTTAGTTCCCTCAGATACGGCATGCTTCGCTAACTCGCCAGGCAACACCAATCGAACGGCGGTCTGGATCTCGCGTGAGGTGATCGTAGGCTTCTTGTTATATCTCGCTAACTTGGAAGCCTCTTGAGCAAGTTTTTCAAAGATATCGTTGATGAAACTGTTCATAATGCCCATGGCCTTGCTGGAGATCCCAATGTCAGGATGAACCTGTTTCAAGACCTTGAAGATATAGATCTTGTAAGTTTCGGTGCTCTTTTTGACCTTCTTCTTCTTCTTGTCGCCGCCGTCTTTAGCGATCTTCTTCTCGGCCTTAAGCTTCTTCTCCGACGAAGCTGGGGTCTTCTCGGCTGGCTTTTTCTCTGCGGGCTTCTTTTCTGCTTTGGTTGGCGCCATTGTTTAAGTAAATAAGATTTTCAGGATTTGAGGTGAAGTCGGCCTCGCGGGTTGAACGATTAGTAGATTTGGGGCGGAGGAGCGTTTATAAAGAAGAATGAGGCGTTTTTTATTCGTTAATTGGACTTTCACGCGGATCGTTGACGTGTCATCGAACCTCACCATTGGATTTTAATGGTTTGCGGTCGAGATTATGTACCGACTTTACGACTCGTTCGGACGGACACGTCATACCTTGCCTACGGAAATAGTTCCATTCCTTTTAAACAACGGTTTGGAAAATATTATTTTTTACATTTAAACTTTAAAAATGGTTCTTAAATAAAACTTTTGTAAAATTTTAAAATAATAAAAAAAAAATGATATAGCAAATGTGAAGGAAGAATCCATAAATCGAGATTTATGTCTTTCGTTTCAATTGAAATATATGAATTCATGGGATTACGTGTCTATATAGATCCGGTTCATGGATTAACGAAAATGTGCAAAAGCTCTATTTGCCTTGAGACTCTTCCTTTTACGTATGGGCGTCACTCCCTTTGGGAGTATCTATTAATACGGAACTTAATTTGAGAGTCATATATTCAACCCGAACGTTTTCAGGATGCCCCTGATAACGAACAAATGGCAAATGCCCTCATCAGAATGAGAAAGGTACACGATTGACTCAAAACAATTTAGCATTCGAAAACAGTCTAAGAATTTTCTTTAAAAGCGAAAAATGGATAATAAATCATGATGCAAGAGAATGTCAGAGTCATTGAATGTCTAATTGTTGACCGTTTGACGATCAAATCTGATCTGTAAAACGCAAGAAGCAGACAAAGAATCCTTAAAGAAATGACCAAATACACAACACAGTAGAACTGTAGAAGTGAGCTGAAAAGAGCAAAGAGAGAATATTTATTCAAAATGATCAAGAACAAACTCATCAAACAGAGTGAATGTTACTGAATCTATGCATTCATCTCCCTGACTTCCCACAATACACATGAAGTTCAGAGTCCTAACTGCAGGAACACCCAGCTGCAATCTGTAAAATGGTAGTCCATAGCAACGTTCTTCGATGTCCGAACTTCTTATACTGATCGAAAGACTGCAACTCAGCTGACTAAAACCTGTCGATCGGAATAAATGTATGAGCATCAAGTAAGAACAGCAAACTAATAATCATGATTGAAATATTCAAGATCTATACGAACAAAGTCAATAGTTAAAGTGATTCTATTTAACAGCAATGGCATAAGCATGAGTCCATGTCTGAAAGTGATTTGAATCTTCTTTCAAATTCAAGCCAGAAGAGGGAGAACCTAAAAGTCCATTGGTAAGGGCTTGGGGTCTCTTAGTCATACTGGCTTAGCGGTTTGAAGTACGAACCTTCAGGCAAACTTATACCAAAAACCCTTAATATTAAGAAGACAACCCACGACCAGAGGATTTCGTGGCCGGATCTAGAACAGATCCAGCCTCATAGGCGCCTCCAACCCTGCTACTGATTTCGCTCTCTGATCTAACCTGAGACATGATCCAGAAAGAAGAAGCCGAGTACCATAAGAAATTCGTTTTGTCTTTTTTTATAGCTTTATAAGAGTAGGAGCACAGTGAAGTCACAAGGTCTTGTCCCACTTTCCGATACGAACAGCGAGTTAGCGAAGGCCTTGGGGTGGGCGTGGGTGCCCCTGGGGCATAGCTCTAAATCCCAGTTATTCAGAAAAAGGAACGGCTCATAAAACTCCAAGTTTCCAATTAGCACAATCTAGCAACAACGCAACCTCACATATGGTCTTTCAGAATTTAAAGCATGCAAGAAACAATTATGAGCAAATGCACCAAACAGACCTCCTTTGGCCTTATATTCAGGGTTACCGTAAATTTCCTAAAAAATAAACCATGTCCTGAACTTTGCCATATCCTGCCAATAAGATTGTGCAAATATAGTGGAAAGCTTCCTTGCAATAGTTACTTCGTTCAAAACATTTTGCAGTATGCAAGTAAATATATGGCAGTTCTAAATTTCTCGCATCAACTACTTGTTTTCTTCATGGCATTCGGAGTATGAAAAGATGCGAAATCGATTTTAAAACTGCATTATACGAACAATCAGCGACAACCTATCTAGGATTCGGGTCATTTCTGGTAGGTTCTAAAGATTTCTTGTTTCCCAAATATAAGGCTGTTCTAATGGTCATCTGTGGAGGATAATCCCAATGGGACGCAAAGAAAATCACAATTGGAGATTTCATGTGGCTAAGCTTCTACTATTGTAATGTCTACTCAATTATAGCACATCCTCTGTCAAACTATCAGTTAGGCTTCAGATAAACTCCTTTTAGTCCTTGCTTACTTCCATAGCTCCATCTACCACTATGGAGTAACTACTAACAATGATGATAACTATGATAACTATAAACATCTTGTAACCGCGCAAGTCCACTGCAAGTAGATATTGTACTCTGTGAATTTTCCCTTTTGAGCTTCCTCTCAAGGTTTTTGGGCTATTACAAATGGTATCAGAGCTAGACACAGGACGGTGTGCTAGCGAGGACGCTGGGTCCCCAAAGAGGATGGATTGAGAGATCCCACATCGGTTGGAGAAGGGAACGAAACATTCCTCATAAGGGTCTCGAAACCTTTCCCTAACAGACACGTTTTAAAACATTGAGGGAAAGCCTAGCTCAAATAGAACAATATCTACTAGCAATGGGCTTGGACGGTTACACATCTCATGCATAAGGTGTAGTGACCGACACCCACAAATGCCAACTCTCAAACCTCATCAAACAACAGACATATGATATGCCTGTACCTTTCCATCCCTAAGTCCTTTACATAATCAATGAAAATAGTTCTCTACCGACAGAGGTGAACCAATGTCTAAACATACAATAACTACAGGACTTGAGAGAGAAATGGTTTACTCCATGAACTTCACGAAGGGTAGATAACTCTATGACATATACAAATTAAAATCATACCAAGATATCAGGAACAAACATATATCAATGGCATTTGAGAATAAAAAACTAAGTGGCTATTTCAAAACTCCATTGAAGAGCTGTTTTTCTAAGGAATGTCAGAAAAATTGAGAGTAAAGTATGCGGAACCTTTGAGAACTAGCGTTGACATTACGATGAAGAATCCGACCGGCGCTCGAATCACCGCCATTAATCAGCTCCCGAAGACCCAATTCGCCCACCTTCTCCTCATCTTCATTTCCATCTTCTTCCTCTTCGTTCTCCTTCTCTTCTTCCTCCTTTAGTTTATGTAACTCACGGTAGACCTTCCCCAGAAGATTCTCAAAGTAATTCCCATATATATACTCCGGCGTGTACCCGTTTTCTTCATCAAACAACATAATGTGGCCGTGCCATTCCCAAACTCGATATCCCGAGTCCTCCTCGTGAAACCCCACACATATGTGGTGCTCGCCGATCGTTACGGCTTGGCCGGAATTGGGTTTTAGGGAATCGGAATTTCCGGCGAGAATGATGCGAATAATCTCTTTCTCGAGCTTCGATTCCTCTTTGGCGAGCTGTGTTTTGTTCTCATCGTTGTCGTCGTCGGAGAGATTCGCGACATCGAAGAGAAGGTCTTCGAGGGATTGGGAGATAAGGGGATTGTTGTTGCTGTTTGGGGGCCGGATTTGGAGCCTCCCCATCAGAGTTTGAAGGAGAAGGTTGTCAAAATTCGCAGTGTTGTTGAAGGAGTTCATGCTGAGCGGTTCGCGTCTGGCAATCGCAGAGAGGGGTTTTTCTTCCGAAGGATTTTGAAGGGTTTTAGATGAAGTACGGAATTTTTATGTATCGGAGAAAACCAAGTTTCCTTAGCTTGGCTTCTTCTTAATTTATTTTATTTTATTTATTTTTATACTTTAAATACTAAATTAGTATTTTGGAGAAAATAAATTCTTGCCTAAACACCAGTCGCCTGGTCAGTCCCATGATTTTAAAATACGTCTATCTAATAAGGAGAGGTTTCCACACTCATGTCAGAATGTTTCATTCCTCTCTCCCAAATCCACTGTCTAGTTATAATGCCATTTTTAAAAGCTCAAACCATTCGAAACAATCTAATTATAGCAAGCTCAAACCATTGTCAATCTCACAATTTTAGAACAGTCTACAGGAAGCAAGCTTTCACACGCTTATAGAGGAATGTTTGAAAAATCTCATAATTGATTCTAGAAAATACCCTCTAGCTATCAATTGATTCAATACTAAATATAATGTAATAGTTTGTTGTTGTACTATACCCGATTTAACTTTTTTTTTTTAACCGGTTTAATTCTATAAAATACCCTCGAACTATCAATTTTCGTGTACCGACCTCTCCCCCTGTCGGTACGTTGCAGCCTCAAACCATCAAAGGTAAGCCAAGCAAGATAGTGTTGTAGGAAGCTTGCTATAAAATATAAACATGTAAGAATATGCAAATCTTACCATAGACGTTCCACAGTCCTAATATCTACAAATTTCTCAAAAAACTATACCAAAACTTTGAGCTTGACGCTCACATCTTCCATAAAAGAATGGGCAGACTGAAGTGCCATATCAGCCACCACCTGCTGCTTGCTCGATGGGGGCCAGACAGCTTGTCTTGAGCTTGCAGCTTTAAAATTTCAGCTGTTGGGTCAGTGACAGAACGAGTTACAGAGTTACTGGAGGGAGGTGTCGATGGTCTCCGCCTTGAGCAACAGCTCTTCAGCTTGGATTTTGGCTACTGCACATAATGATGGCAAGGCAGCGTCGATCGACAGTTTGATCGAGTTGGTGGCTGCCGAGTCGACTCGGACTGAAAACAGAGAGTAAACAGGTCTGTGATCTGAGAATCTGCACTCCCCTCGTACATACCACAGCTGCTTCATTCCAACCCCTCTCCACAATATCCGATCGCACCTACAAAGTGGCCATAAAAACAAACCGATGAGAAAAGCTTCTCCTTTTTGCAGGTTAACAAGCTCCAATTGGGTGACTTACCAAGCTGGAGTGCGGCGTTTCTCTCTGGATGGCTTGGAGTTGGAGGTCAATGCAACGTAATGGTCTGAATTGGTGATGTATTTGTAAGTTGGAGCGAACTCTATTCGTCCTTCTTCCCACCCTTTGAACACTCGACCAGCCCTCTGCTCTAACTTTAGCTGCCAAGACATCATATCAAAGAAATTAGATTTCCAAATCTTCTGCCAAACTTCTAGTTCAAACTCAAACTCAAACTCACCTGGTCTTTCTCTAGAAGTGCCTGCCAATCGTTGTTCCTAAGAAGCTCATATGTTTCCCCGCAGCCTGTCGAAAGCCGATAATTCAGATCCCCGAGCCAGATGACCTTACTGCATATAACTCGTTGTTAGAATCACAAGCTTTATGAGTAGAGATGTGTAACAGCCCAACCCCACCGCTAACAAATATTCTACGCTTTGGCCTGTTATGTATCACTATAAGCCTCATAGTTTGTGAGAGGTTTTCAAACCCTTTTAAGGAATCGTTTGTTTTCCTCTCCAACCAATGTGGGATCTCACAATCCAAGAGGCCAACGTCCCCGCTGGCACACCGCTTGATTACTAGCTAATATTGTCCCTTTTTGCCGGTTACTTATCGGCCTCACGGTGCTAAAACGCGTTTGTCAAGGAGATGTTTCTACACCCTTGTAAAAACACGTTTGCTAAAGAGAGGTTTACACACTCTTGTAAAGAATGACTCATTTTTCTCTCCGGTTGATATGGAATCTAACCAGATGTTCATTTAATGCTATGATCCACTCCAAACTGTTACCTAAACCGAGCGGAGGCCGAGGTTGGGGATTACACTCTCCATCCCCGTCCCAACCCCGCCCTACCCCACGTCCATCTCCATCCTAGTGGAAACATAATTCTCATGAATTCCTACGACGAATCCCCGTCCCTATCCCTAAAAAATAAAAGCTTATTCATTTCTCCCCTTTGTTCAAAGGGAGGTGTTGGATAAAAGTCCTTCATCGGCTAATTTAGAGAATGAAGATGGGTTTATAATCCAGGAATACTCTCTCCATTGGTATGAGGCCTTTCGGGAAAGCTCAAACCAAAACCATGAGAGCTTAGGCTCAAAATGGAGAATATCATACCATTGTGGAGAGTCGTGTTCATCTAACATCCCCTGCCTGCCACGTGAACATCCCTAAAGTCATTAGTAAGAAGAAAGCAAAAGAAACTTACTCATGATCCAATATGGTCTCGGGAGGGAGTGGGTGAGCTCCAGAAGTAGCTCTGCAAGAATGTGAAAACCGAGTTTTCTTCAAAATTTCAGTCACATCAGAGTTTCGTTTCAACTCATCCCCTTCCTTCTCCCCAGAGGTCAAATGTGTGCACACAAAGCAAAAGCTTGTTCCGTGCAATGTCATGCTGATAGACACAGATCCCTATCAATGCACCACAAAACATCATTCCACAATTCGAGTTTCTTTCAATACAATGGTGGGCAGTGGCTCACCTTGTTGCCAAGGAACCCCATCACGCCTCTCCCAACGCTGGAGATTTTCAAATTCAAGACGTGTTTGTAAAGATCCGCTTCAACCCACACGCACAAGAAAATTCCCACCATTTGTTTGCTTGCTGCAAGGCAATACTGTCGCCGCCGCATTGGTTTATTACCCGGCGTGCACATCCCGGTTTCGCCACTCCAATTGTCGTCTTCTAAAGCGAGCAAGTCTGAGAAACTCTGCCGTGGCTTCTGGGGTACTTGCTGCTGGTTGTTTGATGTCGGAGAACCGATGCCGTCGGTGTTGAGCGCTTGGTGGATGAGGGATAGCCATTGGGCAGCTGGCCCACTGTCCTCCGCCCCAAGCACATTGCCTGCGTTTAGAGGCACGATTTCTTGGAACCTATTAACAAATATTACAAGTACTCAATTAACCACAACACTAACTGACCAACAAAGTTGACTTTCATGGCGGCGCGTGAGGGGATAGAGCTAGATAGGATAGGGGTTGGTGGCCAGTTAGTTAGGTATGGGCATGAAACGACCCTTCAGGTCCACAATTCTAGGAAATCATTTCACTCTTTTTTTTTTAAGTAATTTTATAATCTCAATTTCTACTTCTTTTTTTTTTTTTTTTTTTTTGTTAAAAATAAAGTCAAATTTCGAAAATTAGATAAATAAAAAATAGTTTAAAAACTTATTTTAAGTTTTAAATAATGGTCGGATAAAACAAAAAAAAAATACAAATTAGTTATCAAATAGATCGAGTTTTCATCAAATGTTGCTATCGAACTAACATTTAGAGATAAAAAGTGAGAAGCTTACCCAAAGACATAAATGTCAATTGGGGTCGGAGAATTGAGCCAATCCGTCAAGCTCAAGCCTTCCTTTGGTGCCTTTCCTCCAACATTCCATGTCCCCACAAGCATCCTAATTTAGTCCATCAAATTCAAATCAATATTCAACAATTATGGTATCGAACATACTTTATATTATTTTTATTTGAATTTTAAATTTTATTATATTATTCTATATTTCAAAAATACATTTATATACTTGATAATCTAAAAACAAAGTTAAATTTAAAAAATATTTAAAAATTAGATAAGAAAATAATAGAATAATATTGAAAAAATGAAATTAATTACCTCAAGTCGAGAGATTCACTGCAGCTGGGGTTAACTCTAAGTCCACGTGTCTTCTCTATTGACCACCTTTCAACTAGAAATTCAAGAAGCAATCAGAAACGAACACGTCGAGATAAAAACATTAAAGAACAATGACCATCACGTAAAAGTCAAACTACACTAAATCTTGCACCATCATTTTCCACCGTCCACGTGGCACTGATCCCTAAGATAGCAGAGTTTTTCACCCTATTTTCATGATGAGTTATTAACTAAAAGTCTTTTCACTTATTGTCCACTGATCAAATCAGGTAAATTGATCTGACGGTTGAAAGCAGCCTGAGATTGTAGAAAATTATTACGGTGTCGGAGTCCAGCAAAACATTACCTCCAATATCTTCCGGCGCGACGGCGCAGCTGTCTAGATCGGAGCAGCTCATCCTCCTCTCTATTAAACCAAACACCAAACGACAAATCCAATGAGTAATTTATTTGATCAGAACCAAACCGAAACCAATTAGTAATTTGTTTATATATATAGTTTTAATCAATTTATTCGATACAAAATTAAGTTTAAAATGTCATAAAATTAAAATAAAAATAAAATAGATCAATTTTTTTAATGAGTTAAGAATTTATTATACATAATAGAATGTTTAAATAATTACCTTGGGCAACGAAATCGGACGGAAAAGCTTGCTTATCGGCCGGAAAATTGAGCCACTTCCTTGCAACAGCCCTCGGCCACGACGACTACGGCGGAGAAACAAGTCGACAAAACAACATAAGCAAAACCCAAAAACGGACAAGTCGGAAATTCAACCTCCATCCTTAAAAATCAACTCTTACCTTAAAGATCTTCCCTCGTTTCATTCCCATTGCTTCGCCGCCGTCAACCTCCGAGAAGCGAATGTAAAGCGATTTTTATTCCGGCCAAAAACCACCGACTGAAACGGCGGAGGACAATGATTGCCAAAATATCCAAATCATAAATCAGTAATGAATGATAGTATCTTTTTTCTTTTTAAAAATTTAAAAAAAAATCTTAAAAAAAGCGTAATTAAGTTGACGATTAATAATCAAATGACAAGAGGGGTTTGAAATAGACCTTAATTATTGCTTTAATTAGCGTTTTCAACGGCAATATAAAAGACCCAGTTGCAGGAGAAAATGGAGCCAGCCAGCCTCCGGCAAGGAACCAAAAACGTAGAAAATGAAATACCAATAAAATAGTACAGAGAGATACAGAAATTTAATTAAATCAAATTAATTAAAAGGAATGAATTTTCAGCAACCCTTTTCAGATCTTACGAAGATAATCAAAACCCAGTTCCAAAAAAGTGATTTTTTCTCGGAATTCCAACTGGGATTTTCTCGGGAAAAGTTCCTGAGAAAATTCCTCTATTGGAAAAAAACTAGAAAGAAAAAAATTCATACTCGAGTAAACTAATTTGATTATAAAAAACAACATTGCGAGCTGAGGAGCTCGTGAAGAAACTAATAACAGAAAATGAAGGTAAAATTAGGAGAATTGAAAGTGGGAAATTACTTACAGAAGGAGGGAGGAGGGTAATTTTTCTTTCAGGAAACCATTGTCGAAGTGAAAAAGGAGGGGTCGTGCGGCGGCCGGAGGAGGCGGAGACGGCGGATGAAAGGAGGTTGAAGGTGGCGATTTGGAGATTCGTGGTAAAAAGTAGAAAGAAGGGGAAGGGAGAAGTAGTTGGTGTTCCAAATATTCGAAAATGTGTCGAACTGGGACTGCCGTCTCTCGTCTTGTTCTTACTTTTTATGCAAAGACGATGCCTCTTAACAAATTAATAAACAACTAAAATCTGGCTAAGTGTCCCTTCATTTTTTTTATTTTACAAAACACATGTTTGAGAACAATGAAAATTATAGTAAAAAAATTAGAATTTTAATAATTATTTTTTTAAATACACATTAATTTATTATTTTAATGAATAACATTTTTCTATAATTAATCCATTATTATCTAAGATAAAGATTTATTCTTCCTACTTTTGTATTAAAGAAAAACAATATTTTTCATTATCATTAAATAATTAAAAATATAGAGAATGGAATGCTTTTAATCAATAAGTACCATATGTTTTATAATAATGATTGTAGCACTCTCCTTCTCCCTCTCCATTCATTACCCCATATGTACTTTTAACCTTTGCTCCTTCATTGTCACAATTACTTTAAACCCAAATTAATATTTTATTGAAGTCTGGTTTGAGACAACTCAATCATAAGAATTTAATCGATGTACATGATTAAAGTTTTGAATATTCTCGACTTTATGAGTAGTCTTAAAAATAGTTTTAACTTTACAATCGTAATAAAATAAATTAAAAATATATATAATTCAACTACAATGTATCAAACTCAAACCGTAAATGAAAATGACGGTCACACTTGAGAAAATAACTAAGAGGTTAATTGAGATTATTTGAGTTTTTAACCTCTTAGTTGATAATGGTGGAATCTTTGGCTAGGGTGAAGTTGTAAATAGATAGTCGTGAGGGAACGAAGATAGATCACCCGAGGTTAGGCCAATTAGCTCACGGGACTGGATGATCGAAAATTGTGCATTCAGCCAGTTTTTTTTTTATTAATTTCTATAATATCCAATGAAGAAATTTTCATTTATTTACTTATTTTTTGGTTCCACATTTATGAAGACAGAATATTCAATTTGATACCTCAATCTTTTAATTAAGAATGGAAAATTACATATTTAAATAAAAGAAACAAATTCCAAGTATTATTAAAATTAACGAAATTAATACTTTAAACCGGAATATTGGCATTACACGTGGCCTATGGGTGGCGTTTAAGGAATTCAAAGAGTTTGACCATGTGAGTGCGCCACACCCGATCACGTTCTCCATTACATTAAACATAAAACAACCCCGGAAATTAAATAACAAAAAAATTAATTTAAGGTTTATTGTTTTTGTTTGGATTTGGCACTTTTTATACGACAGACCAATGACGGAGAGACAAGTGTCCCATTATTAGGGAAATTCCACGCGGACGGCTCTGTTGCCTCTTGGAGATCCTGAAGATCTTGACTGTGATTAACCTAACGCAACTACAGGTGGTGGTAACAATTCACCTCACGAAATCATATTAGATACGAAATTAATTTAAAAATTAATCCATCAACTTAGATTACAAATTTCTTTATCTTGTTAAGTTTTCATCGAGATAACCTAATACAAGAATAGTTACGTGTTTGATATTACACATTCAAATTGACGTGTAATTAAAACGTATTTACTAGGGAGAGTTTTTCACCTACTAATGTTTCGTTTCTATTTCGAATCAGTGTGAGATTTCACAACCCATCCCTTTGATGACCAACGTCTTCGCTGACATACTGCCCGGTGTCTGGGTCTGATATCATTTGTAACAACCCAAAGTCATCGCTAGCATAATTATCCACTTTAGTCTATTACGTATCACCGTCATTTTCACAGTGTTAAAATGCATCTACTAATGAGAGATTTTTACATTTTTTTAAGAATGTTTCGTTTTCTTTCCAATAAATGTGGAATCTCACAATATTATACCATGACCTAAAAAAACACTCATTATAGCTATCCAAAACTATCATTAAAAACTTACTATTATCATAAAAGCATAAACACAATAATATAAAAGGCATTAAGAGAGAATAATGAAAACAAGATATGTTCTACCCAAGATCTCGAACAACAATAAACTTAATAAACAAATATACCGAAAGATCGATTTCCATATCAATAATTTTTATTTTATTATGTCAAAACATATCTAAAATCATAGACGTGTACGATAAAACATAATATATATCCAAACAAACGTAAAAACTTTGAAAAAGTACATTGATTGGCCCTTTTTAACCCATAAAAGCAAGCTTATACCAATATAAAACGATTGAAAACATATAAAATGGGTTACTTTTGTTGACTAAAGATCTAACCTCAATCTACCAAAAGATTAGAAAAAGAATATAACAAATAATTAAATCAGTTTTTTACGGACACGTACTGATAATATCAACTTTTTTGACTTTCCCATGATGGGATTCTTAGTGCATTGTTATGGCGATAGGGAGCTACGAAGAAGGTCGGTCCAAAAAGATTAATATCTTTTATTATCCTTAGAAACTTCTAATTACATGTCATTAATCTCAATTAATATTCAATAATCAAACCCCTAATCTGTTTTTCCTTAGAATGATTATCTGTAGATGTTAATCCATAACTTGTCGTCTTTATGTCATAATTATTTACCTAATTATCGGGACCCTCCACGTATCTTTACGTTGTATCCAGCTAAAATAGGTAGAGAAAAAAACAAATCAAATTTAAATGGATTTTAAAGTACATTCGAAAATATTTTTTACATCACGATGCTAAAAATAATAATATTTTAAAAATAAATATATTTAGAGTATAAAATAATAATAATTTTGAATTATGCACGCTTCACACAATATGATAAATATACAGACATATAATGAAATGAATACACATATAAATCTTTGTTCTAAAATTATTTCATTTGAAATCTTTAATATTTAGAATTATTAAAAGCATATTATAAAAATTAAAATAAAGTCAAACTCGATGCAATCACGTGGGTGAATAATAGAACTTCGTGTTAATTCTCTCAAGCTTATATTATAACATATGACTGCGAAGCTTTATCCTACTCATCCATGAGAAGACCGGTCATCCAATCATGTAATATAAAAGTTATATATATCATTTAATTCAAACTTTCTTAATTTTCATCGTATTAATTTAATAATAATCAATTTTTATAAAATGCATAATTATGGTTCTTTTATCAAAATCATGTTATATGGATAGTCTTGTCGTTAGATATTTAAGTTAAATGTCGTCATAAAAGTAATTATTTTGATAAATAATTTAACATAAAGTATTTAATTAATGATTAATTTATATAAACTAAGTTTAAAAGTGGAAGTAGAAGTTGGGTTAATGATTGCTTCATAATGGAATGATATGAGAGTAGATTAACATAATATATTTACAATTATGTTGACAAGAGATTAGTGGTTGGGGAAGTGGGATTAATCATTGAAATGATTTGGAGTTAAAATGGATTTTTTTTTTCGATTCGATTGATTTTAAGAACGAATAACTAAATTGAATTATTATCGTTTTACAATTCTCTAAATATTTTATTCGAATAATTAAAGGGAGATCATCGATCCAAAAATATTATTTTATTGAACGATCAAAAACTTTTCAACAGAAAAAGCACAAACCGACCACCAACCAACCCAAATGGCAAAAGTTTGATACACAAAAGGTCGATTTGGCAATCGATAAATGATGAACATTATTGGAGATTAGGGAGATGATGTCACAATTTAGTGCAACTTATTTTAGTTTGAATTAGTTATGGAATATATGATAATCGTAATCTTCCAGAATATATTAGTTAGGAAATATATCTTAGATATCGTAATCAGTTGAATTTGAATAGTAGTATATTTTATTTTATTATCAGGATTTAGTTAGTTTATATTTTCTTGGTAGATATTATTCAGTATCTTGTATCCTATTTAAAGGTCGTGAATATCAATGAAGATAGAACATTCGATCCCAATTCTTTTCCTCATTCTTAAATCTGTATTTTTTCGTTGAGTAATAATATTTTCATATCTATGCACACTTTTGAGTGGTAGATATTGCGTCAGATGAACCTCCCACTAATCACAGTGATTAACATTAATTAATCGTCTCGAAGAAAATTTAAATCCAGTTTTGCTGTCCAAATTCGTCCGTGTCTGGTTCACATTTCCATGGAATCTCCCGTGTTTTTGGCATTTTGGAAGCACTACAAAATCTTTAACTGTGTGTTTTGTTTCTTTCTTTTAATTTTTTTTTTCCCATTAAATAATAACGACATTCAATTGGCTTAATCTTTCTTGTTTAACAGCATCATTTTCTGCATGATTCAAGTGAGTATTAGTTTTTTTGGAACATCAACTTCAACCACCCACTTTGGAAGATTAAATTAATCCACAAGTTTAAATTTGAAATGAGTTTGTTTTCGTTTACCAAACTAGTTTGCAATTTATACACATATTTCATTATTTCTATTATTATTATTTATTGAATTTTAAAATTTAAAAGAAAATTAAGAACCTTAACCTTCAGGCTTGTCGTCTGCGAGGCTTGTCCTAAACCGAGTAAGGAATCTTTCTTTAAACGGAGAATGACAGAGGGAGTAGAAAGAGATTTTCTCCCGTTAGGCTAAATGAAGGGATGAAGACTAAGATTATATTTACTGGAGTAAACGATAAATATGTATAATATAAATTTTTTTTTGTGTCTTGTTGGAAAAAAGTTAAATTTAAATTTTTAATTAGATTCTGACGTTATATTATTAGAATAATTTTTAATAAAAACCATAAGAAAATTATGCATTAAAAAATTATTTCAAATAAATGCATTTAAAAAAATGGAGAAAAATTTTCAATTGGGTTTATGGGCCTAAGGCCCAAGTCATGAATTGAAAAACCAGTGGGCTTTGTTGTCCGGTGAGCGCCACCGGAAAGGCACGAGATATCATGTTCCCGCCGAGAGATGGGACCCACTTGTTGTTAATCATGGTTAGGAAAATAAACTGCTATTCCAGAATATATTTTGAAAAAAGAAATTTTGGCGGGTTTTTGCGTTCTGTTGTAAACGACGTCGTAGTGGGTATATACCA